GGGGGGGGGGGGGGGGGGGATGGAATTTCAGGGGACGGGGCATGCCGCTCTAGTTGTCCTGCCATCCACCCACCCCAGGTCCCCCAACACGGGTGGGTCTGGGGCCCAGAGCCACCTCTGTGAACTCAGCGACCCAAACATGTTTATGCTTTGACTTCCTTGAGCTTTTCTGAGTTCCAGGTTCCTCGTCACAGGAAAGGCAGTCTCTCCATCTCCAGGAGGGCCACACATGTGTAGAAAGTCTCAGCAGGTCATGGGCACCCCATGCAAAGCACAGTATGGGAGGCCGGGCACATGCTAGGCCCTGTGTGGCTATGACACTTCCCTGTAGGCTGTCAGGCACACAGACCGGCAGCTCTGGGCGCTACAGTTGGGGCCCATGCTGTGGGAGGCAGCATGGACCAGGAGCTAGGGGGTCCTTGGCTAAGGGTCTCAACCCCAGGGGGGTTAGCCGAGGCCTCCCTGGACACTCAGTCCAGCTGCCCAGCAGCCCAGGCCCTGGCACCACTCAAACTATCCGACAACCAACTCACTTGTCTCCCACCGTCTGGGGGATAGTGGGGATGCAGCATCCTGAGAACAAAAGGCTGAGCTTGTCCCTCTCTGGTTCCCAGCAACCCTCATTCCACCTGCCACTCATCTGCAGGAGAGAGGGGCTGAGGGGCCCTGATGCTGGATCCCACACTCCTGCCCAGATAGCTGCTATCCTTCCTCGACATCCCCCCACACCCTCATTCCGGTGGGGAGGGGATCAAGCTTCCTCTCCAGCTCTGGCTCCCCTGATTTCACTCTTCAAGCAGATCTCAAGAAGAACGTGTCCTCATCCCCTCACCTCCCGCTTTCTCAAGGGCCCAAGGAGGAAGCTGAGTCCAGGCCTGCTCAGGAGGGTAGCCCTGACATGGCTTGGGCGTGACCTCCATCAGGTCTCCTAACTCAACACCCACCCACATGCACCCGGGGGCATTTCAAGTGCTCCCCTACCCTGAAGTCCTGAAGCCTGTCCTCAAGGCGGGCCCTCAGGAGCCCCCACTCCTACCTCTGCTCCCTTGCAGCTCTGAGTTCACCTGCATACCTGCCCCAGCCTCGTACCCTTCCTGTGTCCCCTCTGGCCAGGTCACCAGCCTCTGTCTCCACCCACCCATGGCACAGGAGCTAATTCCACCCTTGAGTCTAGATTAGAACTGCCAGGACCTGCTGATGAGGTCCAGAGGGGCCAGCTTCCTGACAGAGGGATAATTACAGGCCACTTTTCCAAGGAGGGAAGGAGGCCTTTCTCTTGACCGAGAGGTGGCAAGGTGGCAGCTGTGTCTCTAAAAACAGCTGAGCAGAGGAAGACCAAGGAGGCCAAGGACAGAGGGATCTGGGAGGTCCGATGGCGAGGGTGGCATGTTAGGCCAGAGTACGGTGGGCTTTAGCGCCAATCCAGTGGCCCTAATGACAACCTTGAACAAGTTACCCATCTCTCTGTGCTCAGTCTCCACCTCTGTAAGATGGGAGAGCAACCATCACGCTATTTAAGGCAGAGCAACCTAGCTTGGGATTCAGCAGATGGCACTGTCTACATCCCTTGGAATCCGCACCACAGCCTTCCAAGCTGGCACCACAGTGTTAACATCACTTCCATTTCCATCACCTGCAGCAGGTATGGAGGAGTGGGCTAACTGGTCCAAGGTTATGCTGGAAGGAGGCAGGGCAGGGCCACCTCAGCCCTGCCCTTGGCCCTCGCAAGACACAAGGGAGGATTGCACACAATCACCACCATGGAGTGCCCAGGCTGGCCTGCAGCCGGCATCTAGGCAGCACTGGCTGTGGGGACACGTGCAGCAGGGTCCCAGTCCAGCAGACCCCACCACCTTGTCCCCTTCCTCTTTCTCACTCTCTCACTCATCAAACTTATCGACTGCCTGCCAAGTGCAGACACGATGCAGGGGACCCAAGGTCAAATGAGACGAGACCCTGGTCAAATGGAAGCTTCCTGCAAAATGAGACATGAGCATTCTTCCCACTCAAGAGCGGAGCCTGTTCCTGGGTCCCTACAGGCCAACACGGGGACCGGGCAGGCAGGACTCAGCTCCGCCTGTGGGAACCCGCCGCCCATGGCCCCTCTTGGCCTCAGTCCCCTCACCTCCCGCATCCAGGTGCTGAAGGGTCTCTGCCAGGAGTCGGCCTTCTCCAGGTGGAGGTAGGCGTTGAAGAGGATCAGGTAGACATAACGTTCCAGGTACTGCAGACTTCGCAGCTGTAGCCTCCGCATCTCCAGCTCCTCTTTGGCCGCCTTCGCCTGGAGGATGGGACAGGTGTGGTCAGGGTGGGGGATTTGCTGCCCCTAGCACGCACACTCTGCCACCCTGAGTGCCGGGGCAAGGGGATCCAGACGACATAGCCAAGGGCACCACCCTGCCCAGGTTCCAGAGGGACCAGTGGAGAATGTGGTACCTGGGAGTCAGGAGCCTACATCCTACTCGAGAGGCGTGGCAGCTCACCTGGCCGCCCTGAGCCTCCATGTCCTCACTGTGGAATTATAACCCCTGTCCCTTCTGAGGACGAATAGACCACGACAGGTTGTCAACAGGAAAGCTCCATGCAGACACTCACTGTGGTGCCCAAGGAGTGCAGAAGCCCCCCCAGATGGCAAAACCAGGGGAGAATGGGGGGACCTTTACTGTCCACTCCAACCCCTAATTCTCCCGGGACCGGAGGAAAGACCTGCCTCCTCCTCTCTCTCCGGCCCCTGAGGCCTCCCTTAGGGCAGGGTACAGGCGTTCTGATCAGCGAACTGGGAAGGGGCCAATAGCAGGGGGCGGCAAGGGCAAGTTCTCAAGGCGTGGACTTGTGGACACAACATCCACCTCCTCCCTCTGCTGGGGCTCTCCGGGGGGCAGGGTCATCCCCGGCTACAAAGTGGAGAAAACCCATCCTAGCTTCTGAGCCCAACTGGTCCCTAAGCGACTTCCAGAGGTAGAAGGGGTGTCCATACAGCCCTCAGGCCCCAGCCTTCACCCTCTCCAAGGCTGGGGACAGACAACAGAGCAAGAAAGACTACAAGGCCAAGGAGCAGCAAGACAGCTCGGGGGAGGGAGGGCACCCAGGTACGTGGGCAGGGGGCATGTTGTGAGGGCGCTGATCTTTTTTTATTATAGATATGTGGGGTACAAGTCAGGGTGAGCTATATAACCAGGCTGCGTGCAGGCTATGTGCAAGGGAAGTGAGGGCAACTGGCCCTCACTCCCTTGGTTTAGGACCAGGTACCTATGTGATGCTACGTGTTCTTCCCCCCCTTCCTTCCCTAGCAATGTCCATCGATTGCCGATCTCTCCCTTGTGCTAATGTAATTAATGTTCAAGTCCCACTTTTGAGTGAGAACATGTAGCATTCAATTCTTTGCTTCTATGACAGCTAAGTATGATGGTCCCCAACTCCATCCAATTTACTGCAAATTCCATGATTTTGTTCTTCTTTATGGCTGCCTAATACTCTATCGTGTATATGTACCACATTTTCTTTATCCAGTTGATGGGTAATAGGGTCGCTTCCATGTTTCTGCTATTGTGAATAGTGCAGCTATAAACGTGTGCGTGCAGGTGACTTTTTGTTAAAATGATTTATGTTCCTGCAAGTATAGTCCCAGGAGAGGTATTGCTGGACTGGATGAAAGGTCAACTTTTAGTTCTTTTAGGAATCGCCCCAGTGCTTCAGGGCACTGATCTTTTTAGCCAGCGATTCTGAACGCCTTCCATGGAAGATGGCTCCAGGCCTCGTGCTGCGGAGAATAGGACAGCAATCCCAATGGCAGCTTAGCTGGGCCTCGGAGGCCTGTGGGCATGGATGGAGAAAAAGGGCACCAGGTAGAGAGACACAGAGGTGAGGATGGTGCTGGCCTGTGGGGCCTGGGAAGAGGCCCGCCGGGCTGTCAGGAGGATGAGGAGGGACAAAAAGGGAAATAGGGTAGAGACCCAATTATGGAAGCCACCCATGCCACCTAGGAAGTTGACCCTCCAGGTGAGTGGTTCACAACCTGACTGTCCATAAGAACCACCGGGAGCTTTCAAATGCAGGTCCCGGGGCACCAGCCCAGAACAGCCAAATGAGAATGACATCAGGGATGCCAAGATGAAACACACACAGGCCCTGCCTTCCGTGGTCTGGAGCAGGAGGTGGAAGAATGTTCTGAAGCAGCCAGAGTAGCTGTCCTGAAGGAGGGCAGAAGGGCAAGTAAGCAAACCGGGAAGGATATCGAAGAGGAGGTCGTATCTGAGGTGGTTGAGGATGAACAGGAGGCAGAGTGGTGCCCTGAGGGGAGGGCATGCAAAAGGCAGGAAGGGGGCCAAAGAAGGTGGTGTGTCCCCAGGGTACCCTACCCAGGGCAGACAGAGGGGGAGGAGCTCGCAGTGGCAGGAGGAGGTGCTGGCAGGAGGCCAGGCCCAGAGTGGGTGTGGGAGCCAAGACTTGAGCTTGTAGACAAAGAGGCCAGTGAAGGCTCCTGGTGGCTTGGAGGAGGAGAATGGTCCCTCTGCCGCAGAATGACTGGGATAGGTGGGGGCAGGATGCATATTGTTTGAAAGATTAAGCAGGGGCTCAAAATAAAAGATCAATTTTGCTTAGAGACTGAGGAATGAATTCCTTTTAAAAAAAAAAAAAAAGAGATTTTACCTAAATACAAACCATGGCCCACACGGCATGACCCACCTGTCCCCAGGGATGTGCAGTCCATGCCGCCCCACCCCTTAGGCTGCTTTCACCCTTCCCCAGCCTCCATCCAAAGGCCTGGAGCAACATAAAGCATTTTCTTAAAAGGAAAGAGAAGGAAGTCGCCCATGGTTCCGAGGGGCAGGAGCCATTTTAAACTACTTTCAATGCAAGAGCACAGAAGAAAAATGTCCCATGGGTGTGAAAAGCCCTCAGCCATAGACTTGGCCATGGACATAGTCACACCACTACCCTTTCCATGCTCCACACCCATGGGGACAGAGGCCGCCTGCTTTGAGAGACACTGACAAGGGTTAGGTCTGGGAAATATTCTCAGGTACAGTGCTGTGATCCCTTTTGAGCCCTGCTGGCAAAGGTAGAATTATCTCTAAATTCGGACCATTGTGCACAGGGGACACCTGACCTCCCCCTGCCAGGAGGTTCTGTGGGCATATCCTGCTGGATCACAGATCTGTGATTTGAGACAGTGACCTACTTTCCTATCAAGACCCTGGTTTCCTTAAAACCCTCCCACGTTAGCACTGCCCGGGGAGGAGGACAAGCTGGCCGCCTCCTGTCAATAAAATTAGTGGAACTGTTTTTATACAGCAGGCCAGGCTGTCATTAGCTGTGGTGGAGCCGGACAAGGTTTCCTCGTCCGCTGGACTGTGCCTTAAAATAGAAGGGGGCTAGGAGAGGCGACCAGGTCTCTGGGCACTTCGGGCCTCTCAAACTTCCGGTCTGTCCAGCATTGAGGCAGGCCCAGCATTGCCCACAGTGGCTCTCGTGAAGTTCTGCTCTTTGATGGGCAAAGGAAGAGGCCCACTGAGGCAGGGCTGGGAAGCTCTCCCCAGATGGACGGCACAAGGGGAGAGAGCATGTGTCTAGGGTCTGCTGCATGCCATGTACCAGGCTGAGCATGTCACATCCTCACCTGATGATCTGACTCTAATACTATTCCCTCTGCCTGGCCAGGTTCAGCTTGTCCCTCCAGGCCTAGGACAAGCCCCATCCAGTCCCCAGCCCACCCCGAGCAATCCAGCCCCCATAGCCCCACCCTTCTCAGCCTGAGCTGCCCTCCGTCTGAACCTTTTAATTAAATACTGCACTGAATTCCATCCTGCGGGTTTCTAATTGCTTCACCAAGGCAGGATCTTTCTCTCAAAACATGATAAACTGGGGGGAGACAATAGTCAGGTTTCCATCTCCCCCTTCTCCCTACTGTCCACGGGTCTGCGTAGAACTCAGTATGCAGCAGGCGCTCAGTGGTCACCGAGCACTCACTCCCTAAGCCATCCTGTCTCACTCTTCCAGCATCATCTAGAGTCTGGATTCTAGACAGATGATAGGGACTCCAGACTTGGACGTGTCACCGCCCGCTCAAGGGCTCCACGTGGAAACGGGTCAGGCAGCCCAGGCCCACAAAGTGTGTCCCAGCAGACCTCTTGAGTGTTTTCCACACCTGCTGCACCAACAAGCTTGCCCACCTCAGTGGCAACTCCATCGGCCCAGCTGTTCGGGTGGGAACCTGAGACTCCTCCGATTCTCCCTTCTCAATCCCACAGCCATTGATCAGAAAACCCTGCAGACTCTACTTCAAAACACCCCAGAAGCTGCCACCTCTCACCATCCTGGTCCAAATCACCTGTCTCAGTGACAGTCCCTGGCTGGCCTCCCTATCCCCAACCCCATCCCCTGCTGCCTCTTCTCAATACAGCCCCAGAGTGATTCTCAAAGCCTAAGTCAGTGCCTCAGCTCAAAACTCACACTGGCTTCCGTGTACTCAGGGTAGATGCCAAAGTCCAAGCAATTCCAGAAAAGGCCCTACACAGTCTGCCTCCTGCCCCCGGAACCTCTGACCTCCTCTCCCACCCTGACCTTGCCCTGCTCCTCAAACACACCAGGCAGCTCCCACCTCAGGGCCTTTGCACATGTCAGGTTACCTGCCCAGAATGTTGTTCTCCCAGATATCACCCTGGATCTCACCACCTTCAGGTCTGTGTTCAATGCCACCTTCTCACAGAGTCCCTGCCTCACCACCCTACTTAAAACCGCAAGCCCTCATACCATACCCTCCCCATCTCCTGACCGGCTACTTCTCCCCACAGGCATACCACCATTCAACCCATGCCAGGTCGTACTTGTCCACTGCTCACTGTGAGCCTCCCTGCTAAGAGTACAGGCTCCATGCAGCAGGGACTTCTGTCTTTTGTTCATGTGGCATCTCTAGCACCTAGTACAGTGCCCAGCCCTTAGCAGGTATGTAATACATGTTTGTTGAGTCAATGAATGACTAGTGCTTGTACCTTGCATCTCATTAATCCCAGCTCACGGGAATCCTGGACTGCCTTCACCACCCCTCTGCTTTCCAGAAAGGGAGGCTGAGGTCAAAGAGACCAACCAACCTGCCAAGGTCACATGGAGGGTGGGTGGCCAAGCCCAAGCAGGAACCCAGGCCTCTTGTCCATGCTTGCTAGGTAGGACCTGCCCACTGAGAAGGCTATGCGCTTAAAGCCCTGGAAACAGCTCTGGCTCAGAGGAAAACAGCCCCAGAGCAGGAACAAGGGGAGAAGAGAGGCAGGCTCAGGGGTCTGC